ATTGACCTTGAATTCACAAAAATCATAAGCTCTGGAACATAACAGCCATGTGTCCAGTAAGCACAGCTCAGCCATTAACTATAATAAAGACAAAAAATATCTTCCTTGTGATAAGAAGGAAAAATGTATTGAGTTTTAAAATGGTCCACAGAAAGTTCTGCTGTTGTTTGTTTAGTTTGGTTTCTTATAATATTTAGCTGAGTTGCTCCCTAACAACAGAAAACTACAATATGACTCCTCCCACAGAACACAGTTTCTTCTCACTCATGTATCATTCTACAGTCTTGGCTCTTAACTTCAACTGTGAAGTGTGACCCTCTCAAAAAGTAGAATTAATTTTATCAATGTTTGGGAAAAATATATTAATCTTCTGTGCTGCAGGTCACAGCAATAAGGTATACTTTGTAGGAAGGGTGCTGATTATTGGCAACAAATAAAAATATAGTTAGAAGTATGGACATTATAAAATAAAATGACATCAATAACTTTATACTTATTGCTTATATACTAGTCATAACATGGGGAATTTTGTATACATTTACTCTTAATGCTTGCAAAATCTGTTTGAATAGGTACTATTAATTGGAAGAGAAGATGAGGCTTGCAGAAATTAATTAAGGTACATAATGTAAATACTTATTTTTAGTATTCTAAGAAAAATTATAAAATGGTTTTTGAAGCAGCTTCAATGTATACACTAACAATTATACTAACTATTAATGTTGTATGACTTGAAAGGACTCAAATCCCACATATGATTGTTGTTATGTATCTGGCACATATCAAGTGCTGTATGTGCTGACTTTTAGATTAGAAAACATTCAAAACATGTTCTTCAAATACACAGCAGTACACAGACTACCAGCTCAAATGTAATTTTCAAGATTTTTAAATCTTGATTCAAGATTTTTAAATCTTGAAAACATAGGATTTTTCCTTTTAATGTCCTGAAATTTCAAAAGCGTGGTCAAAGTGTTTCTGGTAAATTGTACATCAATGCTTCACAAACTATCTGTAAAGCTGGCTATTTAAAAATGTTTTACAATTAATTATGAACAGTAAACAAAATTGTTTTATTGGGATTTAAGCACATGCTGGATATGGAAAAATCTCATCAAGTTCATTACCATTTTTAATGAAACTAATGGTCAGATGACTATAATAGAAATTCACAGCCCTATGACAACTGTACACTGAGCTCATCATTCATCCCTGGGAAACTCAAAGTCCTGTCAGAAAGCATTACGAACTTCGGAAAAAGTCAACTCCAAGAGGATGAAATGAAAAGGCCCAAGGCAACAATAATTTTTTTATTTTTTAATTTTTTTATTTTTTTTTCCGGTACCAGGAATCAAACTCACGACCTTGTGCTTGCCAGGCAGGCGCTGTGCTACGCTGAGCTAAATCCCCAGCCCCCAATAATTTTTTAAAGAGGGACATTTAAGCTGTTTCTAGATTTTTGAGATTAGGAAATCATGAAAGTAGATTATATGAGAAAGAAGATATTATTGGTTTTTTATTTAATAAACACTAAATGGCTTTATGAGCAGGTGTTGTCTTGAACATAACCAAGTATCGAATAAAGCATATAGGCACAGGGTACAGGGTGAGAATGAACAATTGTTATCCAAAAAGTCAGCCATGTATGACATGTGGTGCTACTTACTATTCCACATTGTCCCTCAAAATTAAAAATTTGATCCCATGATGTTAAATACATTTTCTTCTTAGTGTTACATGGTATTCAATAGCGATGCTAATTAAACTAGTGATTTTCTTTTGTTAGCCTTACCAAAAAAACTCTGTATGAAAGATTAGCATGTACTATAATTTGTTTTCCAGTAGCTGCACTAAAATATGCCATTTATTTGCAGCCACATGATAAACACAGACAAATCATTTGTACCTCTCATTCTTTTCTTCACTTAGAATATTTCCTGTAATAAAACATGTTCTCAATTTTCATTTCCATGAGAAGACACAGGTGGTAATTGCAGATAACATTTTAAAAAATTCTCTATGTGTTAGGCACTTAAGGTATTATTGAAATTAATTTTTGGAACATCCTTTTGCAGAGTCTTGCTATCATCTTCATTTTATGAACAAAGAAAAACTACAGATTGGTAAGAATGAGCAATTTGCCCAAAATTACTCAACAAATTGTTTAAGATTAGAATTAAATTTGCCTGATTTCTGGGTTCAGTAGACTACCTCCCCACATTAGGCTACCTCAGTGACAGATGAATTGAGATTTGAGTTCTTCTAATCTTGTTATTGCCAGCTGCTTGACAAGCCCTCGATAAGGGAGCTGCTGCAACATGTCCACAGTACACGGCCTTAAATCACTCAGCAAAGCAATTGGTGCACACCATTAGCAATGAAAAATCAAATAAGCAATGACACAACTGTAATGGGAGACCTTAATACCTCATTGTTACAAAGAGATAGATCAACTAGACAAAAAATCAGCAAAGAAATAACAGAACTGAATGACTTAGAAAAGATACAAATGCTTCCTGATTGCACGAAGTTTACAGTCTACCAACACTCACATGCCACTAGTAATCTACCTACCTACCTATCAGCTTCTCAGAATTCTTTTGTCTGTGGAAGAAATGAATAACATTTTTACACTGTGATAATTTGTACAGTTTGAAAGAGAAGTGCAAAAAGAGGCACTGAAGAATGATGAGGACAATGGAAGCTGCGTAAATAACACATGTGAGTGGAATGTGCCAGGAGGTGAAGGTGAAGGGAAAAAATGCTGGACTGAACAGGGGGTGCAAGTCAATGAGTTACAGAAAGAGAACTGAATATTCTGCCTCCCGGGTCAGATGCAGCCCCAGCTGGACCCGTGAATGGGAAGAGCAAGCCCCTGTCCCACCGGCTGTTCATTTATGGGACCCGTGGGCCGAAGATCAAAACACACGCTGCTAATCAGCATCTTAGTAGCAAAAACAAAGCCAGCTCTGAGTTGCAGGAGTTTGTACGTTTCCCTTCTCAAATTACTTTGCTGCTTCTAGTTTTAACAGAAGCCAAGTATAAGAGCACTTATATGTGAAATACAAAGTTTATCTTAATATATCATCATAAATTTCCTTTATACCTTTATAAGTTAGATAACTGAATGCAAAATTAGATTTATGTTACTCAAAATGTGTTCCCGTTTGTTTTACACACATTCACATTCTCTCTAATCACTTTTTCCCTTCCTATTTCTACCTTTTTGTATATCACATGTTAAAAAATTAAGTACTCGATTTCAGTTTTACCTGAGCAGGCTAACAGCAACAGTGACCCACTGACAGGTGATCTGGAACTCTGCCAGATAATTTAAATTTGTTGCCTTATGCCGTTTATTTATTCAGCGCTACAGCCACCATAAAACGTAGGAGGGAAAAACTATACTTCCAAGTGAACAGGTTTGTAATAGTAAAAATTCACCTAAATAACTTCCTTCCATTTGTCCCTTTCTGCATTTTAGTGTCTAAAAGATACTGAGGTGAAATGGAAAGAAAGAAGTAGCTGTGTATTTCAGAGGAAAACTGAAGGCTTACAGGGTTGTCTTGTTTCTGTCCATGATTCTATCTTCTGCTAGAGACAGGCGGAACGCACATGATCAGAAGATTCCTAAAAACACGTTCCAATGTATATTATTTCTCAAGCTGATCACCTAAAATTCACTTTATTCACTTTCAGTGAAACTGGATGTATTTGCTAGTGCAGAACAATCTCTTCTGTAAATAACACCAAATCCAGCGCTATCCAAAACACAGTCTCAAAGTTTTTGACAATGCAGACATAACTAATATGTTCAAGAACTGAAACCAACACCACTTTTTTTTTTTTTTTTTACTGGTTATAGCGCCTGCGTTTCCACTGCCTATTTGTTAAAAGCACAGAGACTACAGCTTAAGGTCAGTGTAGATCTGCTGGCTCATAAAACATTAATTGCATAAATGTTGAGGACCGGTTGTGAATAACAAAGGTCTAATTCCTTATGCATATGGACTCCAGCCAGTTTTCCAAATGCAATGAGTTTTTCCTGGTGGGGGGGTAGTCAGTTGATAAACACATTTCATAATACAATATTTTAAATGAAAGGAGACAACCTAATGTTACTTGGCTACCTGTATGAGCATTGCCATACAATCTTGTGAAATTGTAATAATATAAATTGTGAACGAACTGGAGTCAGTCTTATGGTAAAGGTCTTCCATGGGAGCGAGGACAGGCTGCTAGACTCTTCTTACAAGGTCCCCTGATGTAACTTTGACCATTGCACTCCTTTTCATTCAAAAGGATGGAAATTCTGTACCCACTAACTGCTAGGTATATTCTCTGCACATGAAAAATTAAAATTCACTTTAGTTCTAAAATGCAGTCTGCAGTAGTAACGTGTTCATCACCGCTTTTGGTATTAGCTCAGGGCACTGTGGCAAGGACTCAAGACCTCTAGGGATACAGTCAGATGTTTCCTGAGCATTACAAATCCCCTTCGTGTCTGAGGACTAGGACGTGCTGCAGATGTCACACAAAGGCAACCCATCTCCCTTGGGGTAAGGCCGGGGCTGATCCTTGGAAAGTAGGCAACAACAGTGTGTCACTGTTATTAAAATCAAATCGAGGGTTCCAAGGTGTGTTTCTTGCACACCTCCTACACTCTGCAGGAAAGAAAGGGCTTTAAGGTTCCTTTTAACAGTCCTCGAGGAAACCAGACTGATAATTAAGTGTCAGTGCCACAGACAGAAAAAAACATTAAATTCTCCCTGGCCGTCAAACCTTCCTGCCTCTCCCTTCTCAGCAGGCAGGGGATTACTATGCCAAAGTCGGCGCGGCGTGATCTTTGAAAAGACCGCGCATCCAAAGGATGTGCCCCTCAAGTGCCAGCAGCGCGGGGCGTGCGCGGGTGCGGAAGTGCCCGCGGAGGCGAGTCCCACGGTCGCCGCAGGGGGTGTGGCAGGAGGAGGGGGCCCAGCCGGAGGGGCGCTCGCACTCACCCGTCCGCGCCGTCCTCCGAGCCGCCGTCCGACGCCCGCTCCTCGCCGATGTCCGGCAGCGTGAAGAACAGGGGCTTGGGGCCGCGGGGCTCCCGCCCTCCGGGCCCGGGTAGGCGCGGCTGC